CATTTACCATCATCAGCTTTGCCAGCTTGCCGTTGTGGCTGCTCTGGGAGGCGAAAAGACGCAAGGCGAAGACCGGACATGCCATGCCTCTACGAGCCATGGAGGATGCCGAACACAGTGCCATTTCCGCAGCCAATCTCGCTCGTCTTCATGAACAGAAGGCGTATGAGGAAAAATACGTTATGGATATGGACCATGTACGCCATGTTGAAGAGATCCCCGACAACAAGGTTTAATAGAGGTCGGACGATGAGTCCATAGGCAGCATGATGGACATGGTTCCATCCAGTGAACCCTCGCTATCTGAGATAGAGGGACAAGCACCGATATGCTTTGCTTATGATATGGACAAGTCGGGCCGGTGTTTCGCTTTCAGGAAGCCAGCCAAGGTGGTCTTGGTCGTGGGTTTGTGTAGGGACAAGGTACCGGTCGCTCTCGGAGACAATATCCGATATTGGGGAGACATAAGAATTGCTAAGCCTTTTTTTTCCCGCCTTTCGGAAGGACTCAGGGCGGCGATTTCGACGGCGATTTCATACAGCGGCGATTTGGCTGAACTATCCGTAACAGGAATAGTGTCTACTAAAGCAGACTAGCGTCTGTTTACATCAATTATACAGGCAACATTGAGGTCGGCAATAGCAGAATGCAGGTTGATGTTCAACAGAAAGCGAGTGCCAGCCAAATTTGGAGGTAGATTCTATCGAACATTAAGCGAAATCGCCGATGGAATAAATCACCGCTCGACAGAATCGCCGGTTCAAGTCGCCGCACTTCGAACTTTAGCGATATCACATGCCGGCACCACTAGATAATTACACCGCTAGAGACAGTATCAAGGGTCTGGGTCGCTCAACGGACCTATCCAAAACCTGAAACCGCATTCCGGATACTTGTCCTGCATCACGAGGCCCATGTCGCACTAGCTAGGAGGCAACACTCCGAGGATCATGATCCCCGCCTATTATTACAAGGCATTCGGATATTTCCCGTTTCGGACAATTGCCTTGACTTCGACCGTGATCCATGAGCCCTGTTGGAAAAAAAAATGCCTGGCTAGTCCTTGAGTAAACAATAATGCTCCACATCTTATCACGCCCATGGCTCAACGGCAACTCCTTCAGCAAAACCAATGCTCCAATATCAGGTGAGGCTGGCTGACCAGTGCCAACGAGACTATCCGTAGATATTACTGTACCATTCGTTGCCGACACTACATTAATGCCAGGAAAATTCTTACCATCGTGAAGTCTCATCTCCAAGAAGACTCTCGACACGGTTCGACAGGGTCACCAAAGACTTCCAACTTTTCTCCTATCCACAAGCAGCAGCCATGAGTGACTTCAGCGCCAATCTCAAGCCTGCGGCGCCCGATGGCGCGACAGTCATTGCCAACGAGCGAAAATGCTCCGACGTCAACATCCCCCAGCTGTCTGAGCACTTGATGGGGTCGGAGTACCTGGAGCGGCAACGACGGGTCCTGGACATTCTGGGCAGAGACAAGGTCTTTTCCAAGTCCAACCAAGCAAACCTGTCGCGACCGGACCGGTACAAGCTGGGTCTGGCGCGAGGGAAGCGGATGAGACAGCTCCAGGACAAGCACGGGTGGACCGATGACGACTTCCTCATGGCCGAGTACCTCGTCGACGACATCCAGCCATATCATCTGCACATCTCGCTCTTCACGGCCGCCGTGCGAGAGCAGGCGAGCGACGAGCAGCGCGCGTACTGGATGCCCAAGATCGCCGCGTGGGAGGTCATTGGGGCGTATGCCCAGACGGAACTGGGTCACGGGAGCAACGTGCGCGGCATCGAGACGGAGGCGCGCTGGGATCCCGCCACCAAGGAATTCATCCTCCATAGTCCGACCATCACGGCGAGTAAGTGGTGGAACGGCACGTTGGGTCGAACGGCAAACTATGCCGTGGTCATTGCCCAGCTCATGCTGCCTGAAAATGGGACCTACAAGTCCTACGGCCCGCATGCGTTCCTGGTCCAGATCCGCGACATGAAGACGCATCAACCACCCAAGAGTATCGTTGTCGGTGACATAGGTCCCAAATATGGCTATGCTTCCATGGACAACGCGTATTGCTTGTTTCATCAGCACCGGTATGAGGATCCTGTCTCTCCCCCCTTTAATCCTGGCTAATCACGAAGAATAGTATCCCTCACAGTGCCATGCTGTCCAGGCATTCTCGCCTCGACCCAGAGACGGGGGTCTATACTAAGCCCAAGAACCCCGCGTCAGTCTATGGCCAGCTTACTCGAGGTCGTTCCGTCATTGTCATGAACGCCCGTCTCGTGCTGGCTCGCGCCGTGACAGTTGCGGTGCGCTATCTGTCCATCCGACGTCAATTCCGCGACCAGGACAACCCAACACAACCGCTGGAGACGGCAGTCCTTGACTACACGACGGTGCAGATTCGCATTCTGCCCCTGCTGGCCACGACGTTTGCCCTGCATTACGCGGGCGCGTATATGCGGCGGCTGTACGAGCGCACGCGCAAGAACGACACGACAATCGACACGGTCGACCAGGCGACGCTCTCGGAGCTGCATAGCACGTCGGCCGGGCTGAAGAGTCTGGCCACCACGCTCGCGGCGGATGGGATCGAGACATGTCGCCGCTCGATGGGCGGCCACGGGTTCGGGGGAGGTACCGGTCTCGTGCAGGCAAACGCGGATTACCTCTCCAAGCCGACGGTCGAGGGTGACAACTGGATGATCACGCAGCAAGTGGCCCGGTATCTGATCAAGAAGGTCAAAGACATGGTACACGCGCCCAACAAGAGCCAGTCACTGAGCCAGACCGAGGAGCATATCCAGACGTATCTGTCCGCCCGGGCCCGAGAGCCCCAATTCGACGTGCTGAGGAGCGACAAGGCCATCGTGGACGCTTTCACCTGGCGCATGGCCAGCATGGCGTACCGGGCGTACGAGGCGCGCGAGATCCAGAAGAAGTCGTGGAACAGCCTGCTCATCGAGTTCCACAAGCTCAGCAGGGCCTATTCGCAGGCGATGCTGGTGTCGAACTTCTACGCCGCAGTCGCCGGAGACAGCAGGAGTAACGAGATCGCTCACCTCGATGCGTCGACGCGCGCTGTTCTCCTCGACCTCTTCCGCCTATTTGCCCTCTACACCATGGACTCGGAAGCTCGCGAGTTCCAGAACTCTGGCGCAGTCACTTCGGCGGATCTGAACGAGTTGCCGGCCCGGGTGCTGGAGTTGATGGCGCGGGTCAGACCACACGCGGTGCGCCTCGTCGATGCATGGGCCATCCCAGATTATTTGCTCGATAGGTTAGTATCATCCCTGTTTCCCTTTCCCCAAGCAACTTCTGAAAATGAGAAACTAACAACTCGTCAAAAAAAAAATAGTGCCTTGGGCCGCTACGACGGACGGGTCTATGAGGACCTTTTCCATCGCGCACACGTGTTGAACCCGCTCAACAAGCAGACATTTAACCCTTATTACCAGAGCGATGAGATTGTCATGGGGAGCGGTGACGGTGGTCAGATTCTGGCCAAGCTGTAGATGTTGGGGAGGCTTTGAACCGGAATGTGGAATGTGGTAGGCCATTGCTAGAAGCATCATGTACAAATTGAGTCAGTCTGCACTTGTACCTCCTCTTCCGAATCCCTTGTGCTGTGCCACGCTCGTCTGCCAATGGCCACACCACTTTGTCCAGAAGCTACAAGTAGAGGGACATGATATCTTTCGCAGGACCATTTCCGATTGGTGCCCAAAGGAATAGGCACCATGGCACCCCCAACTGGGTAGTGTTGGTGTTGCAAAGCAAAAGTTGGAGAATGTTCGAAAAGTGGCTGGTGTGGAGCGGAGCGGAGCCCCTGGAAGTTTCTACCAGGCGCGACGAGCGACAGCGAGGGTCAAGAAGTAGGATTGGCATTGTCAAGGCATAATTATTTATACAATGGTTTATTCGTCGACAACGTGTAGAGATAAAATCATTCCTCCACATCCAATGCGAGACAAGTAAACAGCAACTGTCAGTGAGCATCGATCGATCTACCCAGGACAAACCCTCCAAAAAAAAAAAAAAACATACTCAAATCATGTCTGCAAATCAGTCACAAAATCCAGAGACTCAACGACCAGCAAACGACAAGGACGACACCACAAAAACATCTGAATCAACTCCGCTCGCGCTCCCAGCTCCCCAGGACGCGTCAACATCAATTAATGCAGATGGAGAGGTAACCCAAACCTTCAAGCTGGACGCCCTTGGGCCGCTGGTCATCAATTCAGACGGCACCCTCTCGCGCATCGACAATTGGGCTCAGATGACCGAGCTAGAGCGCGAACGCACCCTGCGCATCTTGGGCAAGCGGAATCAACTCCGGCGGGAAAATATTGAAAAGGTTGAGAGTGGTTCAGCCAACAGTGCTGCTGAGGAAGGGAAGTCATGAGGTGAGGTGTAGGGGGTTTTGGTTACACGGATATATACGGTCGAGGGTGGAGGTAACCAGTTGGATGGAGTCAAATACCAGGAAACCATGAAACCGGGTCTCACGATAGATAACTGGGGAGGACAAATGCGGCGTTTGGCAGGTTGCTAGTCTATCTTCTTCGCTACCCATGCGTCAAAGAAACCTGTTGTTTTCGGATAACTCAATCCCCCGCGGCAATATGGGCATGACCGGCCAAAAGAGATCATAAAGGCTCAAAGGGCACGGAGGAAGGCCGACTGGGAACATTCTGAGAGAGACAATGGCAATTCATTCGTCGTCTTCCTTTTACCTACTTGTCAATTAGGCTAATTCCCGGGGATGACGGCCACAGGCTTTTCCCATACGTCGGAGTCGCAATCGCAGGGCGTCCAGTGTCCAGTGTCCAGCATCTGGCGTCTACGGGGACACAAGTGCGACTACAAGTACAAATACCATCTATATCTGCCATGGCCGATCCTCGCCGACGAGGCCAACAAGGCTAGCTAAGCAGTATCAACCCGTGTGAAAAAAAGTTAACTCTCCCTAAAAATGCCAGGAAAGATCAGCGAATGGACCGACTTCTCCTTAACCGAGGACCAGAAGTGGCATTGGATGGACCACGGTTTCATCAAGATCGAAAACTGCTTCTCCCCCGAGTTCGCTGAGAAATGGACCAGCTCCATCTGGACGAGACTCGGCGCCTCGCCGGACGACAAGTCGACATGGCCGACGGAGAAGCTGAACATGCCTGGCCACACGGTCGTCTCGATCAAGGAACACGCGCCCAAGGCGTACGCGGCCATGTGTGAGTTGGTGGGAGGGGAGGATCGAGTGGCTGAATGGTATGTAATGGACATATGGATACATACGTAGATATATACATTCCTTCAGGTCAATGGTACTCATCTATCGGCGATGCAGGTGCAAATTCTGGAAAGACGGCTTCATCCCCAACCTGGGAAAACCCGAGTACAAGGAATCAGACCCGCTGGACATGAGGTCCCTCGACAACTGGCACTGCGATGGCGACTGGTTCACCCACTTCCTCGACTCGCCCGAGCAAGCACTGTTAGTGATTCCCTTGTTGACCGAGATCAAGCCCAAGGGAGGCGGCACCGTCATCTGTACGGACGGAATAAAGTTGGTGGCGGAGAGATTGGTACGTTCCTTCTCACCAGAGGTCGCTTTTGCGTATACACATACACATATGAGTACAGTCCCTCACCACCACTCGGCAGTACTCGATGCCCCAGGGCGCCACGCCGTATCTCGCGCCTCGAGGATCCCCCGAGATCCCCAAGTCGAATCCGGACCGCCGAAAGCTGTGGAACTCGTGGGTCCAGGACCCCAGCCTCTGCCGCGACGAGTCCTTCCACGAAGCCACCGGCAAGGTCGGCGACGTCTACTTCCTCCACCCGTTCATGCTCCACTCGGCGTCGCGCAACCTGCTTCGAAACGTCCGCATCATCACGAACCCGCCCGTCGCCCTCAAGGAGCCCTTCAATTACAACAGGCCCGACGGCAAGTATAGCCTCGTCGAGGCCAAGACACTCAAGGACCTGGGTCGGCCGGAGGGTTTGCCCGAGTGGAAAATTACGGCGCCGAGGGAGTTACTTCCCAGTGCGGGCGGGAGGATAAAGGTACGTTTTCTTTCTCTCCGAGGACACACCTCAGAGACCGTCAAGTCTACTGGCTCTCTTCTGGTCGGCCGCTCCAAGTTCAGCGGTGCTGACTGCCTGCGCGCTCAATTGCAGATGCAAGAGGAAATGAAACGACAGGAACTGGAGCGCTTGAAAAAGGCCGGCAAGCCAATCCACACACTCGAAGGATCCAGCGAATATGGGCTCGAGTACTATCCATCTTAGCTGGTCCAGATGGGAATTACCCCCAAAACCCCTTCCACGGTTAAAGCCTTTGGTAGAGTTGTAATAAGAAGAATTTGCATATGAATTGATTCGCGATCCTGCGTGTCTCTCTGTTTCCGTGGTCATCCTTCTTTTCAGGTCTTGATGTGATGGCCTAATATGTATAGGCCCTAAGCGACCCGTCTCACCATTCCAAAGACGTGGCTTTGGCTGATGATTCCTCAACAAACCCAGCATCGGGACCGTCTTGTAAAGACCTTCTGCTCGTCTTCTGATCCAGACTCTGCAGCTTTGAGAACAACCCGGGTCCGTACCTCTCGTACGTGCTGATCAACCCACCCTCGGCGAGGAGTTGTTCCTGAATGCGATCCAGTCGAAAGTCCCACGTCCGGCCCTGACAGTAGATCTTGCGGTTCTTGACATCGATCGCGACCTCTTCCCCTTCCTGGGCGAGTCGGTAAAAGTCCTCGTCCAGTAGCTTGATCCCCATCAGGCCGTTGTTGACTTGATTGCGCTGGTAGATGAAGGCGTACGACTTGGCGATCACGGCCTGGATGCCCGCCCACTTCAGGGCCTTGGGCGCCTGTTCGCGCGAAGAGCCGCAGCCGAAACTCTTCTCGGCGACCACGATCGAGGCCCCTGCCTGTGCGCGATCATAGAACTCTGGTCGAGTGTAGCAGAATGCGCCACGGGCGACTTCTTCTTGGGTGAGGTGGGAATGGCACTTGTCGGTCGGGATGATGCTGTCTGTGTCAACATTGTCTCCGAATCGCTGCACTTTCCCTCGAATCGACTCGGGAAGCGAGGGCGCCGGCTTTTCTTCTGCAGATGGTGGGGATACCTCTGCGTCGCCCTTGGTTAGCGTTGGTGCGGCAGCAAGGAGTTCCGGCTCGACGTATCGTGGTGACTCTCGTGCCTCCTGTGCACCGTATCTCCTCATGGCGTCAAACTCGGCCATGTCAATCTTAGCAAGGATCTCCGAGGGATTCTGCAGTGACATGGAAAAGCTAGAGACGGCCACTGTCGCCGCAGAGGTGATGTTGGCGATGGACCCGGGGCCCATGCGATCCCGGTAATTTCTATTCTGAGATGACAGCCACACCTCCCCCTTCCCGGCCTTGTCGACTCCCATGCCCACGCAGTAGCTGCATCCAGGCGCCCCGATCTCGAACCCGGCCTGTTCGTACACCTCGAGAAGGCTGAGTTCCTTGAGGCGATTGATGATGGAATTGGACCCGGGAGTGACACGTCGTAGTCCCTGCGCCTCTGGTTTCCAGCCTTGAGACATCGCCTCCTTTAACACCAACGCAGCCAGAATCAGCTCTTCTTCCGTCGTGGTGCAGGCTCCTATGAAGACACCTTGCAGGTTTTGGAGCTGTGCCGTTGCTTCTGAGACGGGCACGACATTGTCTGGAGAAGGGTACAGCGCAATGAAGTGCTCCAGTTCGGATAGGTCCACATCATATGTTTCGGTGTACTGCGCATCGTCGTCTGGCCGGAAATAGAGGCTGTCCGATTTATGTCGTGGATCTCTTCGACGTTGGATGTACTGCATGGTGACTCCGTCGGGAACAACACAGGCGCCAATTCCGCCGAACTCGGTCGTCATGTTCGCGATGGCGAATCTGGCGTCGCATGACAGGTACTGAAGTCCTTCTCCGGTATACTCAACGAGCCGGCCAGCTGCAACGGTATTTCTGCGCAGTTTTCGCATCACCCCGAGTATAACGTCCTTGCCGCTGGTCCCAAGAGGTGGTCGGTTGATGAAGTTGATTCGGACAATGTCTGGGACCTCGAGATATGTCTCGCCAGTGACAAGTTGCAGAATCATATCGGTTGCGCCCACGCCAATTGCAAGGCTCCCTAGCGCACCAGCTGAAGACGTGTGAGAGTCGGCGCCAATAACCAGCATACCAGGCTGACACCGAGAACGATAATACTCTGTATGCATGATGGTGGTGTTGTGCCCAGCGTAGTTGTCTCCCAGGTCCATTTCCTTAGCAATCTGGTCGCACGCCTCGATCAGAGACTTCTCGTACGCCCGATGATTCACTCGTGGATCCACGACATGGTCCCCTGCCAGCCAGAACCTGTCTCTGCGCCGAATGCCAGGACGTCCCATGCGCTCGTAGTTTTTGTTCATGCCAAACCAAGCAACTTCGGACGCCAGAAACCAATCTGGAGCGATGCGGATCACGGTCCCTGGTTCCACGTACGGAGTCCCAAGGCCGAGCGCATGATGGACCAGTATTTTCTGGCAGGCAGTCATCGGCCGCCGACTGGTCTGTTGTTGCTCCATTGCACTTTCGAGATCGTTCTCGGCAGCGTAGAAATTTGGTGACTTCAGCAACCAGAGTTTTGGCCCGGCGACAACTGTGTACACCTGAAATATCAACGCCTCGCCTTCGAGTCACAAGACAAGTGGCAGTTGTGGCGCCGACTTGTCCCTGTGTATACTAATTACAAAGAACCAGCGCCGTTGAAGTGGTTTTGTGATGCATGCCACACCGGGCCAACTGCCGAAAACTTCAATGCCACAAATCCAGAACCCACATGGGACGGGAAATCGGGTTCCAACGAGGCTCTTGTAGGATATGATCCTGAGCCATGCGAGTTGGAGGCATCTACTTGGAATAACCCTACCTACTTTGCACGAGTATGCATGTTGAGAAGCCCCACTGGCGAGACTCCCTCCGCTCGCTCGGTAGATCGCATGACAAGATGTAAAAAGCTCTGGCAAGACTGGTCAAGCGAGAAAGCTTTTGCTTGTCATGCGGGCGCTTGACCCATTGACCCAGTGCCAGCAATAATAGTCTTGTTGTCCATGTTGGAGCTACCGGCCACATTCCGGACCAGGCTCTCCGGAATTCAAGCGGCTGGGATTCTGCCCCTGGACGGCCGATCTTGCCCCGGATTCAGGAGCCCCAGACGGAACGATCAATATAATCATCAAATGGAGCGTCGTTCCCATGTATCACATCTTGCATACTGCCCTGTCACAACACGAGGACTGTTATCCCACAAGTCAAGATGATTAGCGAAGGACGAAACAACCGTCTCATCGACAACTGGAAATGTCTCCTCATCTGCTGTGCGGTCAGCATGGCAAACTGTCAATATGGCTTTGGTGAGAGCTTTACTTGGATGTGATGTTGGTACACGAAGCTGAACTCCATGCAGATACCGCTGCAGTTGCCGGATTCCAGGCCATGATCGGCTTCCTCGAAGTCTTCGGCTACAAGGACCCCAAGGTCAAATCGGGATGGAATATCAACACCAAGCCTCAACAGCTGATTTCAAGCTTCCTCAATGTCGGCACCATCGTCGCGGTGCTCCTGGGCGGCCCCTTTGCGCATAGATTTGGTCGCAAACCAGCCATCTGGATCGCGTCCCTCATATCGATGGTGGCATGTGGTGTCCAGGTCGGAGCGAACAGTCTTGCAGGTCTCTATGCCGGAAGAATTCTCCTCGGATTGGGAAATGGGTGGTTCATCCTGTTCTCGAATGTTGCGTGTGTCGAATACGCCCCTCCACAGCATCGAGCCATCCTAGCCTCCTTCTTCGGTTTCTGGGTGAACCTGGGGAGCATCCTCGGAGCCGTGGCCGACAACTACAGCAAAAACTTGCACAGCAGACTGGCATACCAGATTCCGCTGGCTTCGTTGTTCGCAATCCCATTCCTGCTCAGTATCTTCATGTTTTTCGTGCCCGAGTCGCCCCGATGGCTTCTCATGCACAATAGACCAGAAGAAGCTCGTAGAGCATTGGAGCGGCTTCGGGGGAGATCGCTCAAGCCCGAGCTCATCAACGAGGAATTCATCGAGATGCAGAGAGGTATTGAGCAGGAAAAGGAGCTGGCGTCGTCAGCATCGGTGCTGGACATGTTCAAGGGAACCGATCGCCGACGAACCATCTTGGCAGCAGGAGCCATCGCATCGCACGCGGCGTCTGGCGTCTGGTTCACAATCTCGTACAGCACTTTCTTCTACCAGATGGCAGGCATCGACAAGCCATTCCAAGCTACCATTCTGCAGAACTGCCTCGGACTGATCGGTGCCATGTGTGGTATGTTTCTCATGCACAAAGTCTTCGGTCGCCGCTCCATGCTTCTAATCGGCGCTGCCGGTTGCTGTATTTGCATGCTGGTTATCGGTCTGTTGAGCCTTGCCGGCCATGGAAAGAGCGCCGGTCAAGCGCTTGTGGGCTTCGCCCTCATGTTCAGCTTCTTCTACAACGGCTTCACCGGCACCATCACCTGGCCGATTGCCGGTGAACTTGTCAGCTCCCGCCTGCGAGTCTTCAGCGTCGGTCTCGGCACTGGGATCAACTACTTCTTCAACTGTGAGTTTTGCGCGCTGTAATTCGACTGAACTGGCTGACCCTGAATTCGCAGGGCTGATCTCGTACTGCACACCGTATTTCCTGAACGCGAACAACCTGAACTGGGGCGCGAAATACGGCTACATCTGGGCCGGCTCCAACGCCGTGGCATTCGGTGGGTATTCTCCAACAATCCTTTAGTAAGGGTATCTAAGATCTGCGGCTAACTTTGGGGATTTTACCAGTGTTTTTCTTCCTCTTAATCCCAGAGACCAAGGGCCGGTCGCTGGAGGAGATCGACGAGATGTTCATCAACAAGGTCCCGCGCAGTCAATTCAAGACGTACCAGTGCGTGTCGTCAGAGCGGGCGCGCGAAATCGCCGTCAAGGAGCTGGACGAAGTGAGCAAGAGTGGCGCCATCGTTCATGAGGAGAGGGTCTGAACCGCAACATCCCGAATTTACAAGTAGCTAGTCCATGACTCTGCAGAGGCGCCTATAGGGAGCGCCCAGTTTTAATCAGATTCTTGCTCTCCAACTGTCGCGGTTTTCGATAGTCTCGTCTTTTGCCCCCACTGTTTTTCCCGTGTCTGGTTTTTCGACAACGTCGTGGAACTGCTAGTCTGACCCTCTGACTAATCACAACACTACAGTGGCGAGCAAAAATCCAAAAAATTGGCAG